CCCACCCGCAGCACCACAACCCCCTCCAGGCTCACCCACGTGGTGACCCTGGCTGGCCTGGACTGTGGGGGTCAAGAGCCCAGGACTCTGCTTACTGAGCACTGAAGTTAAAAGACAAGTCCCTCGCCCCTTGGTGGCTGCTTTCCCACAATGAGACTGCCATTTATTGAGCACCAAGTGCTGTACACACATCATCACGCCTTTAATCCTTACAACTTCCTGGCAAGGTGTCTACTATAGGCCCCATTCTTTACAACAAGATGCTGAGATTCAGAAAGGCAAAGATTTTGCTGAAGGCCACACAGCTAGGGACTGGAAAAGCTGGGATTCCAGCCAAGCCCATGTCTTTGCCCAGAACCTATTTCCCCAAATTCAGTCTCTTGGGTACCACCTTCCACATCTGTACATCACTTACTGTACTAGTTTGCTCCAGCTGCTGTACAAAGTACCACAGACTGGGTGGCTTAAATGACAAATTTATTTTCTCGTGGTTCTGGAGGCTGGAAATCCAAGATCAAAGTGTCGGCAGGGTTGTTTCTGGAGGCCTTGCTCCTTGGCTTACAGATGGCCACCTTCTCTCTGTGTTTTCACATGTGTGTCTCTGTGTCCTAATCTCCTCTATTTATTAGGACTCCAGTCATACAGGATTAGAGCATACCATAATGACCTCGTTTTACCTTAATTACCTCTTTAAAGACCTTGTCTCAAATACAGTCACATTCTGAAGAGCTGGACATTAGGACTGCAACATATGAATTTTGAAGAACACAATTCAGCCCATAACACCTATACTATTACTTACGTATTATTTTCTTTATGTGTTTTTAAATTTATTTTAAAAGGAAAAGTGCTTCTAAGTAGTAACACTGAAAAAACACAAAACCAGAAAGGTATGCATTCATCCAAAATCATCTTATGACCACCAGCAGCACATGGACCACACTTGGGAGGCAATTGTACCACACTAGACGGGCTCCTTAGGAAATAGCCATCACATGGAGGACTGCACTATAATCTCTGGGCATCTTCCCCCTCTAACCCACAATGGTTCTTCCAGAAGCCTCGTTTGAGCCCTCAGTGCTATGTGAGGCACTCTGTGTGTGTCACGTGGAGAGGGCAGAGCGCAGGAGACTGCATGAGCCTTGGTCCAGGGGACCTCGTGTTCCAGCTGTAACGACACACTAAGAGATGTGTAATAATAACAATAACACAAGATAGAGTTGTGCTCAGGTAAGAGGTCATGGACCACAAGTGGCAGGTGTTATGTAGTAGGTCAGAGGAAAGCAAGATTTCCCTCCATGGAGGCAGATCAGGGTGAAGTGGGGACAAAGAGAAAAAAGGCATTCATTCATTGAGTCATTTATTCATTAATATTTATTGAGCCCTGGCCATGTGCCAGGTGGGCAGGTGCCATGGATTTAACACTGAAAAAATATTCCTTCTTAGAGGGAGAGGAGGGCAGAAAGATGAGGAAGGGAGAGACAATGAACTAGTAAGGAAAACACACTGAGCAGAGTAGACGGTTTAAAAAGTCATAGATTTAAAGATAAAAAAGCACAGAAGGAGTATAGGCGGGGTTTTTCATGGGGAGCAGAGCTTATGATTTCTTAAAAGATGTTCAGGTAATATCACTTAGTAACATTTCAGCAAAACTCTGAAGGAAGAATGATGTGAGCCATGTAGGGATTTGGAGGAAGAGCATTCCAGGCAGAGAAAACAGCAAGTGCAAAGGCCGTAAGATGGCATCAAGCCTGAGTGCTTGCAGAGTACGGAGGCCAGAAAGGAGTGGAGGGGATGAGGAAACAGGGCCCGGCTGGGCAGGCCTGTGGCCATCAGAAGGACTTCAGCTTGTGCCGAGAATTGGGAATACTTTGGAGAGTTTGGGGCAGAAGAGAGACAGGATCTGACTTAGGTTTTGACAGGATCTCTCCTGCTTTTGTGCTGAGAATAGATTGTAGAGGAGTGATATGGCAGCAGGGAGACTAGTTAGGAAACCATTGCAGCTATCAGTGATCCAGGTAAAATTTAACAAGGCATGTTGAGAGAGAGAGAGAGAGAGAGAGAGTGTGTGTGTGTGTGTGTGTGTGTGTGTGTGTGTGTGTGTGTGTGTGTGTGTGTGTGTGTGTTTGTGTGTGTGTGTGTGTGTGTCTTTCTACTCTCCTGTGTGTTTTACTTTCCTGGCTCTGAAACTTTTTTATCACATTGGCATGGAATGATTAGGCAAGAGAAGTACAAGAATGCATTCTTTTTCCAGACACATAACTGGCTCCTAGGGATAAATAACCTTAAGATAATCTTAAGGTGTCAAGTAAAAGGGTTGATCTGGTCAATATGGGAACGGCAAAGAGTGTCCTGCCAGAAACCTGGGGAGAGACTAGCTTACATCACACATCTCATTCTTTTCAACAGTTCATCCTCGTTTCNGAAAGGAGTGGAGGGGATGAGGAAACAGGGCCCGGCTGGGCAGGCCTGTGGCCATCAGAAGAACTTCAGCTTGTGCCGAGAATTGGGAATCCTTTGGAGAGTTTGGGGCAGAAGAGAGACAGGATCTGACTTAGGTTTTGACAGGATCTCTCCTGCTTTTGTTCTGAGAATAGATTGTAGAGGAGTGATATGGCAGCAGGGAGACTAGTTAGGAAACGATTGCAGCTATCAGTGATCCAGGTAAAATTTAACAAGGCATGTTAAGAGAGAGAGAGAGAGAGAGAGAGAGAGAGTGTGTGTGTGTGTGTGTGTGTGTGTTTCTACTCTCCTGTGTGTTTTACTTTCCTGGCTCTGAAACTTTTTTATCACATTGGCATGGAATGATTAGGCAAGAGAAGTACAAGAATGCATTCTTTTTCCAGACACATAACTGGCTCCTAGGGATAAATAACCTTAAGATAATCTTAAGGTATCAAGTAAAAGGGTTGATCTGGTCAATATGGGAACGGCAAAGGGTGTCCTGCCAGAAACCTGGGGAGAGACTAGCTTACATCACACATCTCATTCTTTTCAACAGTTCCTCCTCGTTTCTCTACACCGTGTTCCTGCGAGCTAGGGCACTTCCTCAGAGCGTTGTAAGGGAGCCCTGCTCTGCTGTGAGAAGTGAATGGTGGACAAGATCCTCATAAATAATTTCTTATGAAAAACATGCTGGAGATGCAAACAACAATGTCATCAAAATAGAAAATGGTTGTATAAACATCTACAATCATTTACGAAGAACAACAGTGCTTTTCCAAGTTCTATAAAGCAGGGACAAAACGGTGGAGCCTGCTAAACAAACAGGAACTATGGAGCACGCTTGCCCAGTACACAGAAGATACAACTTCTCCGTGTCATTGACCTAGAACCAGCTTCAGCCCAGATGAGCATGAGCTTATCTAGTCACCAGCTATCATTTCGTTCACCTTCTCAAAGATTTAACGGACTCACATTGAATAGGATTGAGAGTGAAAAGTTAACTCCCAAAAGATTAAAGATAGCATAATATCTTCACGTAAACTTAAAAACAACTTAAAACAAGAAATCATAATTTGTAGGAAAATATAGCTCTGGTGAAGCTTTATAAAATATAAAAATAAAGCAAGGGAAAGAAGATGACATGATCCAGGACAGCAGTTACCTGGGGAGGGGGAGGCGGGGGGCAGGGCANTAATTGTCAGTGTTCTGAGTGTTACTAGGGTATTCGTTTCATAAGCATCTGTTATATTACTTCTATTGATTAGTTAATAAACAATGGCCTTGCAGGGACCAATGATGATAGGAGGTCATGAATCAAGGAGTGTTGTTATTTAACTCTGTGACCCTGAGGTTCAGAAAGAAGGGAGGGAGGAAAGGGGAGGGAAAATCAATGGAGTTTACATTGGAGGGACAATTTGGATGGACTTGCCTCGTGTCACAGCTTTCACACAGAGGAGAAAGGGGTGTGTGTGTGTGTGTGTGTGTGTGTGTGTGTGTGTGTGTATGTGTGTGTGTAAAATCATACATATCACTATACAGCTGTGGCTCTGTGCATCCATGAATCAGCAAGCTCCTGTGTGTGTGTGAGTCTAACCACAGGAATTTACAGTATCCCTCCTTGACAGGGGACAGGAGGTCTGCTCTCAGGAAGATCTGGGCTACAGCA